TGTTTTCTCCTCCAGATTGTTCATCCAGCCTATCTTATTTAGACAGACCTGCGGAGATAATAACATGCACAAAAACAAGACAGAGCAAAACCAAGCAACGATATACAACAGAACAACAACATCAAAGCACTGACAAAGAACAAATCAAAACACAAGGAAAGAAAAGCTTGCATCATGTCTCATAGTGGGGCTGGCCATGTGGTCTTCTCTGTGGACTGGCTGTTCTAATTGGGGTCATCGTCCTCAAGGCCTGGTGGGCCAGGATGTGCTCCAGTCTCTCCTCCTCCCTGGTCCTCTGCTCCTGTGTGCTCAGATCAGATATGTCCCTCTCCAGGAGCTGCAGATTCAGTGCTGTTCTTTGAAATAAATTCTTCTGGGGGGAGGGGCAGGCATCCACTTAGTATTTGGTACTGGGGCCAGCCCCCCAGACCTCTCCACTGGTTCCCTACTCCACGCTGGAATGTTGGGAACTCGTTTTTTGACCCCTGGGCCTGGAAACTGTGTAGTCCTCTCCTTTCCTTTCAAGAGGAAGTGCCCTCGATTGGGATTTTTTGAAAAGTCATGTAATTGGGCACTAGCCGAGCCTGGGATTCATGTCCTCTAACTCAGGGAACATTTTTAGATGTTTTTATCTCTCTTCTGTGTGTTTCTTCCTAGTTGGATATAGCTCATGGGTTGATCTTTAATTTTCTTTGTTTTTACATTTTTCATATCTTTGCCTTTTTTGTTTTACTTTTTGGGTGAATTTTCTCCATGTTAACATAGAAGCTTGTTTAAATTTCCAAGAGCTTTTACATTTGAAATGTTTCTCTTTTGTTTGTTTCCGTTTTTTGGTTGCATGTTTGCAATGCCATGTATCTCTCTTCAGATCGCCATTCTTGGATTTTTTCCCCTTAGCTTTATTCCTTCGGATCCCTTCCATTGTAGTCCTTTCCCCCCAGTGCATTTGATCTGTCCTCAGTCTCTCCTGTCGTGAACTTCCTGCAGTCTCTGCGTATCGCTGGCTGTTCTGGCTCAGAGTGAGGCAGAGCAGCAGAAGTGAAGTGGGAACGGTGTGCTGACAGTCCTTGTGTATCTGGCCTTGGTAGAAACTCGGCTGTTTTGATTAATGAATGTTGGGGGGCTTGTGAGAGTGTTCTGTTGAGCTTTCAGGTTTCCGCAGAGAAGGTTTCTCGAATGTTCTGCTGTGGGCCTGAGCCAAACTGTCTGTTTTGCAATAAGAGTTGTAGATAGATGTGGGCAAGGTAGGGAGGTCACACAATTGGTGGGTAAACTTTCACTGAATCCCCATTTTGGGCACAGTATCTCATGACCCCCTTTAGTCGCTTGCTGCCTGCCCCTGGAGCAGTGTCTTTTGATTCCATCTACATGGCAGGTCAATGCCCTCCCTGCGCCTGCCAGTCCAGGGCAAGAGTGGGTGTCTGTCTGTGCATGCTAGAGGACCATCCAGGTTCCCAGCCACTCCTGTTTCACTGGTGTCCTGGGACTGCAATTCCTGTCTTAAAATGGAGAGTGCTCTGTCTTGTCATCCGTCTGTATAAACTTAGATTGGGCTTTCTTCTAAGCCAGGTTTTTAAAAAAAACCAAAACCATTGAGCTGACTCTGACTCCTGGTCCACCCCTGTGTGTCACAGCAAAACTGGGCCATAGGGTTTTCCATAGCTGCTGCCTCAGAACTCAATCCCCAGGCCTTTCTTCCGAGGCACCTCTGGGAAGACCTGGACCCTCAACCTTTGGCTAGGAGAGCTGTGCGTGTTAACCGCTTGTGCGCCTGGGACTCCACGACGTCAGTGGACACTTACACTGCCTTTCCCCCTTCTGAGGCTTCGTTGACATTGTCTGCTTTCTGCTGCCTCCTCTCCCTCCTTGCGCTTGACTCTGCCTCCGTGGAAGACCCGTGTCGTTGGGTTTGGGCTGGAACAGTGACGGGGGCATGCATGCGGTTTGCTGCCTAGCCAGGAATGCCAGGGGGCGTGCTGCACTTGGGATTCCCGTCTGATGGGACTTGTACTATCCCTATTGAATTGTGTGGTCTGCTATGCTCGGTTGTACCAGTCCCCTGTTCGACATCATATTTCTGGGTGGGCTTGTTATTGTTTTTGCAAATATAAATAACTCTCCATTTAATGTCGTTACTTACACACCTTCTCCTGCCTTTAGGGTTATTCTTAGGTCGTTCTTGATGTTAGTTGTGGTTGAGCTAAGTCTGACCCGTGGGATCCCCTCATGTGTAAAGAGCAAGCCTGCACCAGGGACTTGCCAGGCTGTGTCCGTTGGGAAGCAGATTGCCAGGCCCGCCTCCCTGGGGCCTCTGGGCAGGTGACTAGAAATAGGTGGGGGTTCTGTTTCCTAGAATTAGGGAGCCAGGTTCCTAGAAATAGAATTACATTGTCATGACTCTTAAGTATATCTTTCAAGCATGCATTTTGAGAGTGTTGTCCTAGTTCTTGCATCTCGTAGGTGCGACTGTGTAGCACCCGTGGCAGGTAGCTCCATCCTCGTGCTTTCTGCCCACTGAACTGTTGGCGCAGGTGAACCACATGAACTTCAGCCATTCTCTCAAGCCCCATGCTGGGAAGCTA